CCCTCCGATGATCCGCAAAAGCGCCAGCGGAAGTGGGGGGCCCTCTGGGCCACACAGCTGACGGCACAGCGCTGGGAGCCAGGGCCGGGCTGCAGGGCCAGCTGGAAACCCAGACCAGGATGGTTTCGTATCAGAGAACTTTCCAGACATTTCCAGGCGCCAGCAGATGGCGCAGCGGTTACGTAGACCTCCCACATGGCTGATCTCGGTATGAGTCTCTGACGGTGGCTTGAAACTCACACCGGGCACGTGTGCATGCGTGCCCAAGATCCCAGGAAAATACAGAAGGGATTGTGGTGTGGCCGTCCCTCCTGGGGGAGGGATTTTTCACTTTCCCGCTGTCTGGCAAGCGCATGTGCCCTAAGGCAAAAACCTCTTTATATATAAAGAAATGCCAGCCATTTTCAAGTCAGTTAAAGTACTGGTGGCTGGAGGGACCAGGGCCTGAGGCTGACCGGCCCTATGGCCAGAGTGGATGGAACTGGGGGGCTGCTCAACCTCTCACCAGGAGAAGCAAGGCTCTGGGGGCCTACAGCTGAGTATAGCTAGTGGAAGACCTGCCCTCCTCCCTCCAACCCTGCCCCTCACCCCCCACACTGACTCCCCTTGGGCTGGAGCCAATGGCCTGTGCTTGGTACCCAGACACCAGCTGCAGCCTGATGGCTCTCTGGTCATCAGCCAAGTGGCCGTGGAAGATGGTGGCTTCTACACCTGTGTCACTTTCAATGGTCAGGACCGAGACCAGCGCTGGGTCCAGCTCAGAGTTCTGGGTGAGGTGGCTCCCTGAGTGGGGTATCAGGTGGCACGGGTGGGGCAGAATCTGTGTGGTGCCTGACAACGTCTCTGTGGCCAGGGGAGCTGATGATCACAGGGCTGCCCCGTGCTGTGACAGTGCCGGAGGGTGACACAGCCAGGCTCTCCTGTGTGGTGGCAGAAGGTGTGAACGTCAGATGGTCCAGGTGAGGGTCGCCCACTTTTCTGCCAGGGATGTCACTGTCACCACTGCTTCTACGCCTGGGGCAGCACCCTCATCCCTGCAGAACCACTTGTTCTCCCACTAGGCTACACGCGTTTCTCTCCTTTTTCTGAGATACTTTTGCCATAGGGTGCTTGTGCTTGCCAGAGACAGAAAGTGAGAAAGCACTCCCCAGGCGGATGGCCACGCTGCAGTCCCTTCTCCTCCACTCTCTTCTTGGGACTTTGGGCACGCACATGTGCTGGTGTTTAAAGCCACTGGGTCCTGGACTGGAACCATGGTCTGCCACATAGGAGTCCCTCGTCCCAACCACTATGCCACCTGCTGGCCCCTACATGGGGTCTCTTAAGCTCAGCACTATTGACACTGTGGACAAAGCAGGCTTTGGTCTTTGGAGGCTGTGATGAGACACAAGCTGGCTCCAGAATCTCTCTTGAGCCCCAGACCCCAAATGGGACACCTGGTAGTTCAGGCACCCTACCTTTGAGACGATGGGAAGTAACCTCACTGTCTAGCCCTCACCCCCTCACCTGTGTTCCTTTGATAAAGCTCTTTTGGCCTGCCTGGTCCACCCCTTCCTGAGGTGAGGCTCACTCGTTTGTGCTCCACTAGGGGAGGGGTTGGCTCTAGAATGCTCTTTGATGACCCTCCCCATCTCCAAGGGGAGGCCCCGGACAGCTCCGAGTGTCCACTCCCCTCCAGGAATGGACTGCCAGTACCAGCTGACGGCCACCGCGTCCACCAGTCCCCGGATGGCACACTGCTGATCCACAACGTGCGGGCCAGGGACCAGGGCTCCTACACATGCAGCGCCTACCGTGGCAGCCAGGCGGTCAGCCGCAGCACCGAGGTGAAGGTGGGCCTGCCAGGTGAGGGCCTGCCCACAGGCCGGGAGGGTCACGCTTGCTTGTTCTCAGCTAGACTCTGCAGTCCGCATCCACTTCCCCTGTAAACTCATCTATCCACAAGCCCGAGTATCTGGTCCTCTGAGCGGCTCTTAGAATCTGCCTTCTAGAAGGATGGCCTCAGGTCTTTACGATTGGTTAATATGTAGACGGGAGACCTGTTTTCTGGACATAATAGAGGTGAGCGTGATGAGTGGTCTTCAAAAGGTTCATGAAAATGCAGTTTTTTGCACCAAAATAAACTCATACTTTAATTCTGTTGTTCCATAAACCTTCCCAGTCCCCTCATTGTCCCTGGTGTGTGCGGCTTTCACTCAGGAGATGTCATCGTTCATCAGACCAGCTCAGCGCCTGGCTTACCCTGTCACCTGGTTGTGAGACTTGGGGCAAGAGGTTTCCCGAATCTCACTTCCCTCCTCTGGACGGGGCAGTATCCTACCACCCAACAGGGCTGCAGTGAAAGGCTAGAATTGCATTATAATGCTTTACACCGGAAAAACACTGAAATCTGCCCATTTCCATCAGGGTGGCAAGATGCGGTCTTCTGGCTGAAAAGTACCGTCATGACCATTTGACTGTACAACCAGACAGGAACAAGATTATCACCCTCATTTTATAAGGGTGTCAGGCAGTGAGAGCCAAAGTGCTGTTTCCAGCAGTCATACAGAAAACCTGTGGCCCAGCTGGGGCCAGAATCCAGGTTTTTGGCTCCCCTTAGTTAACATTTTTTTCCCTGACAAACTACTACACCTGTAACCGGGGTGCAACTGCATTTTACCTGCACTGGCCAGTCATGAAATATTTTAGCCTTTTGATTAGCGCCTGCTCTTTCTGCATTGTCATATTTCAGCAAATTGGGACACCACACTAAGATACATTATTTTATTACTACAAAGAAAAAAAAAACACTGGCAATTATATAATGCAAGGTGAAGACACTGAATTAAGTTGCAGACTCATTTGAGAGATATGAAAAGATGTGCATCTCAGAAATGAGGGCGCTCTGTTCAAATACGCCCGAAGGGTATGGAGCTCTTGCAGCCCCAGCCTGTTCTCCCACGTGTCCTGGGTCCTGGGTCCTGGAGGGACTGAATAGCAGGGCAGTGCCCTGGGCCCTGCGGCCGGTTCCCACAGGCTTGTTAGGGACCCAGAGAGAGTGCACTGGGCTTGGAGATGCCAGGGCTCTTCCTCCCTGGGCTGCCTGGGCATTCATGCCAAGTTTCACTCAGGGTCGGGCCTGGCTGCCTCCTGCCTGCCAGGCTGAGGGAGAGACTGGCCAGTGCTCCAGATTGAAGGTCTGTGGCTGAAAAGTTGCATCGACAGTGGGACTGACACATGGGCTTCTGATCTAAGAGCGCCTTAGGTGGCAACTGGGACGCATGTCCCCAGGGCCAGCCCAAGACTTGGCCTCACTAGGCATTCAGGTACTTGGTGACAAAGTGGTGCCTGCATGAATGACAGCCTCCCCTAGGGAGAGCACCACACCACCACACCACAAGGCTGCTCTAGGAAATCCATCTCGTCTGCATCGTAACCAAACTTAGGAGGCCTGAGACAGACCACTGCACATTTACTGAGAGGAGGAGCTGGTAAGAGGACCCAGATAGTCTTGTGGTTAGCTATAGATGTGTCTCCTGAAAAACCAAATCTCAATCTGAAGCTTGTTTGTAAGTCCAGGGGGCTCAGGTGCGTGCAGTGGGCCGCTGGGACCTGTGCCCCAGCAGTGCAGGCTCTGCCTGCACCAGACCACCCTTCTCTGCCCTCTGCCAGATGTGTTGGCAATTTGAGATCTTTTAGGGGCACCTTTCTCTACGAGAAGCCGCCCCCTTCCTCTTTTACCTGTACGCATTCGGTCGATGGGGCTGTAGATAGCAGCTCTCACCTGTGTTTGGTTTTGTAACTGCCGTGGTCTGGTGGCATGCTGCAATTGCTGTGGCAGCGGCAGGGTGGGAGTCCCGCTCTGCTGCAAGGGAAATCGTTCTACTGTGAGAAATTCGCAGTCATTTTGCTTAGAAGATGGGTGAGGAACAGAAGATACTGTGGAGATGAAACAGGCGGTCGCCCGCTGTGGCCCGGCCTGTTTGTTAAACGAGAGCGCGATGCCAGGGGGTGAAAGCGCTCAGTCAAGACGCTCAGACCCGGACATGGCTCGTCCTGTGCCCCGGGGGCTGAGGCCAAGTGCTCGTTGTTCTGTGTACTGTGCTCAGTTCTTACAACAGTTTTCTCCTTTTCACAGATGAGGAAACAGGCAGAGCGCTTAAGTGACCTGCCTAAAGCCACCCACGGGTAGGGAGTAGAGCCACTCGAGCCCAGGCAGCCTGGCTCTCGAGCTGGTGGCCTGAACTTCTGTGCTGAGTGTCCAACAGCTCAGATGTTGATACCAAAGTTACAGATGTTTAAAAACACGCATAAACAGCCCCGTCATGTACGTAAATGCAGGCAGGTCTTCCCGATGGTGCATACGACATACTTTAGTACTCCCTAAGGTAGTGCACTGGTTAGGTATGGTCTTTTAGGGAACGAGGAACAAGGATGCAGATTAGCTTTTGTTAAGGTCCTACTTAGGCCCAAGCCAAGCTGAATTGTAAGAGCCTCCTCCAGAAAGAAAACAAAAGCTAGTTAACTAGGTAAGGCCACTCCAGTTGGAGGATGAAACAGTGATGAAACATTTTTTTCCTTTATTTTGCTTAAGGGCGTGAGCGCTTGACAGAGACAGACAGGGAAAGTGAGATGGTATCCCTCTGTGAAATGGCCACGTCACAAACTCTTCTCTTCCACTATCCTCTTGGGACTTCGGGCACACATGCACCTGGCATGACTTTTATTTTGTTTATTATTTTTTGGGGGAGAGGTTTTTTGCTATAGGGCGCATGCACTCGCCAGCCAGAGAGAGAGAGACAGACAGAAAGCGAGAAATCACCCCCCAGGGGGGATGGTCACGCCGCAATCCTTTCTCCTCCATTCTCCTCTCAGGATCTTGGGCACGCACGCACATGCGTCCAGTGTAAGTTAAAGTCGCCGGGTCCGGGACTATTATTTTTTTGGGGAGAGGTTTTTTGCTATAGGGCGCATGCACTCGCCAGCCAGAGAGAGAGAGACAGACAGAAAGCGAGAAATCACCCCCCAGGGGGGATGGTCACGCCGCAATCCTTTCTCCTCCATTCTCCTCTCAGGATCTTGGGCACGCACGCACATGCGTCCAGTGTAAGTTAAAGTCGCCGGGTCCGGGACTTGAACCACGGTTGACTCTATGGGAGTCTAACTGGTCCCTTGATATGACTTTTAAGCTGTCGGGTCCAGGACTTGAACTGTGCAGTTGGCCATGTGGATCAAACTGACTTTATCTCCACGTCACCTGATGGCTCCAGGATGAAATGCTTAACAGGGATTTAGAACGTACAGCAGCCCCCAGGATACTGAGGGGAGGCAAAGGACTCTGTTCTCAGGATCACATTAGAGCCAGCGTCAACCAGACTGCTTCCCAGTCACCTTGGCTCAGATGAGACACACTGCTCTCTCAGAGAGGGAAGGTGAGGGACTAGGTGACCCAGATAAGCTGTGGATAATGAAGGCACAAAAGCTTCGGGGCTGGAGGCACCCTGCAGTGAAAGGGAGAAGGCCCTGTGGCTCCTTCTAACTCAAGGCTGTACCTGGGGTCCCTGGGGCTGATCCTCCAGGATCTTCCTCCCAACCCAGAGGCCACGGCAGACGCCATCCAGCTCTTCAGGTCCCGACAGGAAGGGTGGGGAGGGGATTTAAGTTGAGATGCTTAGTCATCCATCAGTACACTTGGGCACCTGGGCAGGACTGTGGCCTGGGCGCAGATGGACGCAGAAAGGGGACAGAGGAGCGAAGTGCACTTCGAGTCTGGCAGTTACAGTGCCGCTTTCCTCGGAAGGAAACCAAGTGGCGAGTGTGGGGGGGTCACCAGGCTCCCTCACCTCATTCTCTTCCCTCCTGCTGTCCTGCAGCACCTGCCGCCCAGGCCAGGGACCCCGGCCGAGAGTGCATTGACCAGCCGGAGCTGGCCAACTGTGACTTGATCCTGCGGGCCCAGCTCTGTGGCAACGAGTACTACTCCAGCTTCTGCTGTGCCAGCTGCTCCCATTTCCAGCCTCACGCTCTGCCCGTCTGGCAACAGGGATGAAGACGGGCTCCAGCCCCAGTTCCAAACAGTTCTCAGGGCTGGGGAGAAGGGAAGACGGGCTGTCAGGCTCCTCTCTCTGGCCAGCAAGGGTGATTATCTCCTGAGGCCCCTCTCAAGACCCCACGCAGTCTGGCCTCAGCAGAGGCGGTACTGCCTGAAGTCCTACGGGCTCCGGCCCCAGTTCCAAACAGTTCTCAGGGCGGAAGAGAAGGGAAGACGGGCTGTCAGACTCCTCTCTCTGGCCAGCAAGGGTGATATCTCCTGAGGCCCCTCTCAAGACCCCACGCAGTCTGGCCTCAGCAGAGGCGGTACTGCCTGAAGTCCTCAGAGGCTCTGCATCTCTGACAACCACAGGCTGATGCCTTACAAAGCAGCGGGTTGTGTAAGAACCTTTACAACTTCGCCTTTTAGTGCTTGAGACTCAGGATCGTTCTTAAAACAAGCTGTCACCTGGGGCTCTCCCGGATTTAAAGCTGAAGAGGCCGGACTTTCAGGCTGGGCTGGCACAGGGCAGGCCAACCCCTGCTGTGAGGGGGAAGGACTGAGCTAGAGCTAAGTCCCCTCTGGTCCACTAGGGAGGGCGCTGCTAGTCTCACCCAGTCACACCCTCTAGGTACCCCAGGGGCTCGCTGCAAGTCCCAGCCAGCATAACGCTTGTGAAAGCTCTCAGCAAGGGGGCGGTGACGGGCTCAGCTCAGCACATGTGGGATGAAAGAGCCGCAGTGGGCTCTGGTGTCTGAGCTCGATCACTGGAAACGCCCCCACTTCATCAGGAAGCTAGACCCTGAAGCCCTCCTGACCCTGGTCCTTGCAGAGTGGCTGTGAGCGTCGTTTGCCTTCGGTACAAAGCCAAGCAGCCTGCTCTGTACAGTGACAATGAGGAACAGCTCTTCTTTAAGTGGGAACATGCGAAGCGAAATGTCTGCTGCCGGAGAGAAAAGACAGACTTTGTATAAACAGCATTAGCAGAAGGGTGCCAGTGGGGAGCTGGCACCCTTGCAGTAACGGGGAAGTACTTTCAAAAGTGGTTTGAGGTAAAGGGATCATTCATTTCTCAGAACCTCTAATTTCTAGATGCTAAACTAAGAGGCCTGGGTTCACCATGCTTCTGTGTCCCTCTCCACTTGAACGAATCCTGCAGAGGACTGCCTGGTACCAGGTTATTCTTGGACAGGCATGACAGGGCCCGAAGCTCTAAAGGGTGACTTTCTTACCAACACACAGACTGGGAAGGACATGAACTGCATTGTGGGTGAGTGCCTTCCTCAGCCTACCTCTTGCTCAACACAACACAGGTTGGGCACAGGTCTTTTTTTCTTCCCATTTAAAAAATACTGAGGAGCATCCCCGTTCATTCACCATAGCTAATTTTGTTATAGAAATAGGAACACATGGGCCCCTTTAATTAAACCAAACTTTGGCCTGCCGACACCCACACTTGAAGGTAAGTTGGAGGTGAGCTTGCCCTTTGTAGCCAGCTCTTCGTAGAACTAGTCACAGGACAGTGGCTAAGACAAGAGGGACACTCTCTACTCCACCCTTTTCCGCATCAGGAGCTTACAAACAGACAGAGGGAACCTGGGCATCTCCTCCTACCCTACCCCAACATCCAGATGTAACTGGCCTGGAGTCTGGGCTGGGCGCGCCAGCTGGTTCTAACACTAGCCTTCCCAAGGCTGAGAAGCTCTGCTCCAGGCCTGGGAGGAGCTGGTCTGCATTCCTAGGCAGCTCCAGTGAGGTCCACGCTGCTGGGCCAGAAGACACTGTGAGCAGCAAGGATCTGACTTCAGAGATGCGCTGAGGATCAACCAAAGCTGGGAAAGACAACGAATGAACTTTAAGTATATACTAGTCTCAGTAAAAGATTTTCTAGTCACTCAATCTGCAGCAGGAGTGGCGTGGAGAGAAAATAAAGACCCAAAAGAACATAAAGTAAACTTATTTGTGAATAAAGAAAAGGGGAAAGAACAGCCCTTCATGGGCAAAAGTTTCTACCACGAACATTTATTTTTGTTAAAGCAGATTATAAATTCTCATCAGTACAAATATATATAACTTACATTTGATTGTAAGGCCAACGTTCAAAAGTAAAAATGAGATGGGGTCACATGTTCTTACCCGAGGTCAAGTGGCTGCAACTGGCAACGGGATGGCCTGCTCTCCAGAAGGGGTGGGGCACACAAAGCTATGACACCAGAAGCCCCCCACCCCCGCCAAACTCGTGGGAATGAAACTTAAGGACAAAATGAAACCCACCAAGACCCACATTACAAGCCAATACAGTAACCTGTGTTCCCGTCCACGGATATGATTATGTCATTGTCACCTTAGTGTTAAAGTAAAGTAAAGGATTAACAAGGAAACTGCAGCGGTATATAAAAGATAATACATATCTCTACAGAGCATATTTAGATCGATTCCATTAAAATAATGACATTAGAATTTTATCATAGGTTTAAAACCAGGACAATACTGCTCTCATTTTCTTTATTTAGAACTACGACCTAGTGACTGTGTTGGTGATAAGCATGATTGTGGCTGCAATGTGCTACTTACAGAGAACGACAGCTAACAAGCTAGGGATCCCGTCGGCAACTCCCAACCTTCCCTCTCTTTTTACTTCAATAGGCATCGATGATAAATCAATCTTATGTACAATTTCTTACAACTAACCCTTTTAACTTTGGCAAGATTACTTACAACTCATACAACTTTTTAATATTGAGAACTATTTAAAATACTCTAAATGCATAAAAATAAAGATTTTGGCTTTTCTGATATATATTTATAGTATTTATTCTGTTACTCGAATGGAAGCTCAATTTTACCCCAAACTATAGCTCTGCTGGGCAGTTGCAGAACACAGCCTGCT